TCAGTTTCCCCCTTTACGTTGACGCGTCCGACACTCAAGCTGGGATGGTAGTAAAGTATAATGAACAAACGGTGATGACAGCGTCGATTCCGTTAACTAAGACATCGACGAACCTGGCATCATATAAAGAGATACAGGGAGCGTATAAGTTGCTCACCAAATACAAGTCGGCAATTGACTTCATCGATAAGAAGGCCAATAAGATTATCGTTACGGATAATATGCCCCTATGGCAGGCCCTCGAGAGAAATGAAGAACCAAGAAACGACTTAGAGGTGTATGCAGCGCGCATCCGTGCCTTGTACAAGGCAGTCTACCAGCATATTCCAGGAGGCCAGAACCCGGCCGATTTTTATTCAAGGAGACACCGTCTCCTCACTTGAAAAAAAGTTTTTATTTAATCAACATCATAATTTTTCTTCGAAAGAAAGTATTCTTCTCTTGAACACTTCACTGAACTGTACGAACTGAACAATGGTTGAGACCCGCAGCACGGTTGACCTGCAAAAGGAAGCCACCAACATCATTCTGGAGGCTAATAAGACGGGGAACATGGACATTACTCGTATACAAGCAATACCTCCGAAGATCTGGGGCCAGGTCTGTACTGCGTTAGATATTGAACGACTGATTAACTATAACCAGTTACTAATGCAACCTAAGTACATGAAAGAACTGCAAGACGTGCTCGCCGCCCGCATAGAGGCCGAAAAGCCTGCTTTTACACACAGAAAGATACAAGAGGCTGCGGCCGGACAAGCTACGACCAACAAACCACCCGCGAATCGACCACCTACGCTGGACCTAACTTCGGTTGGCCAACAGGCACCCATGTTAGAAGAAGTATACTACAGCGAACACAGCTCGACACCCAGAGCTCGTGATAAAAGGCATACGATAACGACGGACGGATGGGCGAATATCGATTATCTGATGGGCGACCCGGCTCATATGCTGAACCAACTACGTGGTGTACGAATGTCACCCGAAAAGGCATTTGAGACGAGGAACAAGATCCTGCGAAAGGCTCTGGTCGACCCTGAGATAGATAATACGGATAAGCTAATTATCCGCGTCAACCAGCTCATAGATCAGGGATTAATAACCCATGACTTGTCAGTCAACGTACTTTTAAGCTGCACAGTATACGGAGATACTTCGAGACATCTGTTGGCCGACTGGCAACCTTGCACCTTCTCGTCTGTCTGTGCGGGTCGGATCCTCAGCTGTCGGCGATATAGTGGTGCGGCACTAGTCAGTGGATAGCGGATGTAGCTACGCATCGTTATGAACGGAAAAGGCCGACGAATCAAAAGTGTGCCGATCGGCTTTCCCCGGTCTCTCGCCCCACTTACAACGTGTCCAGCGGTATTCTCGGGAGTTTCTGGCAGGAGTGGGGC